TAATGAAGATGCTTCTCGTTTGCCTGCCTTCGTGACAACTGCTGGGGGGGGAGGGGGCTGCAGTGTCCTAGAGCCCTTCTTGGGGGCTGCAGGGATGTGTTTTGGAAGAGAACAGGATATGGTGGCTCATTTGAAGTTGGAAGTGTTTCTTTTCTTGCTTCTCAAACAGTACTAGCCTGGTCTCTGTGGTGAAAGCTCATTTCTGGTACAGGCTCCATGGGCTTTTCAGAGGGGTCATTGGACCAGACTTGACAAACCAGGGAGAAAATGAGTGGTAGCTGACGAGCAAAAAGGGGAGGCACTGAGAGGCGATGTGCTAATGAGCTCTCACCTGGGATGGTAGGTGAAACATAAACAATGATTAATGCTAATGCTAATGAGTTTGGTCTCAGCTTGGTACCCTGCAGAGCTGCCATCCTGATTACGCAGCTTTGTGCAAGGCACTAAGGTCTGCCAGCACAAAGGCGAGCCACAGGCCGGGAGTGGCTGGGGGGGGCCGGGGGGGCGGGGCCAGGGCCAGCCTCGTCTCCAAAGCCTGTAGGATCAGACGAAGGGATGTGCACTGAAGATGGAGGGGGGCTGACAATGGGGAGCGTGTGGCTTAGCACAGTCTCTCTGCCTCCCCCAGATGATCCAGTTTGTATCTTCAAGCATCAGCCTCAGCCACCGCACTCAGTGCTGAAGTTTCTGCAGGACATCTTTGCCAGCAAGGATACAGCCAGCATCTTCTACCACACGGACATGATGGTCCTGATAGACATCCTGGTGCGGCAGATTGCTGATCTCTCCCCAGGAGACAAGGTGCTCGCAGTAATCCGTAGGCACTGGGCAAGGGAGCACAGTCTCAAAGCAATGGTGTTTCTTCTGGCCCTCTGTGGGGCCTGCTGGTGCAGGCAAAAGTGGAGTCCTGGGGTGGGTGTGACATTTCTGGGTGCTCAAATCAGCCTCGAGGGCTGAGGAGAAAGGAGGCATTTATCCTGCCTGGAACACAGCAGTAGAAAGGCACGTTTGAAGAAAGATATGCCAGGCTTCTGGTGGTCTGCACACCTCTGTCCAGAGACCTTTGGGAACGAGGACCCTCTGTGAGTAGTAGAAGTAGGAGGGATCTCTCTGGTTTGGTATTGCAAAAGGCAGAGGATGTGCCCATGTTTGAGAGCGGGCAAAGAGCAGTGCTGGGTTGCTGTGGGAAGAGCAGAGTTTTCCATAGCTACTAATGAGCCTTAAGGAAAAGCAGGTGCCTCTGGAGTCACTCTCTGGCTGGTGGTGCAGCAGCAGCTGTTCCTGTGCTCATGCTGTAATGGAGGCTGGCATGCTTGTTTATCTCACTTTAAATCTTTCATTGTGCTCTGTGTTTTGTCTCCCCTCCCACTTGGCAGCTGAGGATGGAGTATCTCTCTCTGATGCATGCCATCATCCGCTCCACGCCCTATCTGCAGCACCAGCACCGCCTCTCCGACCTGCAGGGCATCTTGCAGCGCATCCTGGGGGAGGAGGAGGAGGGCCAGCAGTGCCAGATGGACAAACTGATCATCCTGGAGATTTATAAGGAGTTCCCAGAAATCTCTCCCGGTACCAGCTAACTGCCCCTCAGCTTGAACTGGAGTTTGAACCACTTGGATCGACAATGTCTCTTGTTGACACTTTCTCCCCATTCCTTTCCAGTACAGCTCATACCTTATATCCCTCCGTGCGAGGCCTAAGGTTGGGACAGCGTTCACCAGCCCTTTAGAAATGCCAGCGGCAGAAAGGGCGTGGGGTACCCCCGGGGCCTGGTGCTCCGGGGAAGTCGGAGTGGGGTGGGCGCTGGCGCGTGGTTTTGCCTGCGAGACTCGGGCAGGAGGTTTTTAGGCAGCTGTTGTTAGTGGGAAGGGCAGAGAGCTTGCGAGGGACTTAGCAGCTGGGGTGGGGGGGGTGTTTAGCTGCGCTGGTGTCCCGAGGTCCTGAAGAGAAAGGCCTTTGCCTTAGAGTATCACTTCTTTTCCATGTGCATCTCTCTCCCTGCAGTGACCAAGTGGAGTTCGCTGGTGCTTGGAAGAAGCTTTCGTAACATCTGTTTTGTTTTCTGCTGCTAGTGCCAATGTGCTGCAGCCCTGCCAAGGGGAGGTAGCTCGCTCGCTGTCTAACACCTCGTCTAGTGAGACTTTCGCTCCCTCTTGGCCCTCAGCTTTGCCTCTGGGTAGCAGCCCACCTAGTGTCATAGAGGTCTTACCCCAGCAGCTGCTTTTTTTCAATCCGCTTTCTATAGTCACGTTTAAATCTGAATTTCTTGCACACTGTGGCAGCCTAGAAATAGTGACCACGTGGGTGACGCTGCCCTTAGGAAGCCTTTGGCCTGGACACAGCGCAAAGATATGTCCTGCCAAGTGAAAGCTGCTGCTTGACACCTCTCGCAGTGCTGCCCCGAGCCGAGGGGCTGCGTGTGGGCAGGTGTGTTCTGTTCGTGAAGCGTGTGGATTTCTTGCCTTGAGCTTCATAGTAGCTCTGCCTCGCTGCCCTCCCTCTCCACGTGGCAGCCCTCAGAGGCAGTGTCAGCCTGCTGTCCAGTAGCTGTTTGTGACTACGCACGTGTGGGGAACCCTTATTTATATTTCCTCTAGGTTTCTAGCAAACGGGATTAACCTGTTTCCCTGTTACAGATAGTCACACGCACTAATGTGGGTCTCTTAGATATTTGTGTGCACAGTCTAGTCACTCCCTGTCCCCAGCTCTTCCGTTGCAGTATCCAGTGTAGGAGTTATTGGAAAGTGGAACTGGAAATACTGGGCACTGTATGTATTTTATTTTAACTTTTTTTTTTGGCTTGAGGCAATGACACGAGCTCTGCTCTGCAGGCCTAGGCTCTGGGCACTGGGGCAGTTGATGCTTGGGAATGGAGGGGGTTGGCCTGGCAGCCAAGGGGGGGCGAGGACCTCCTGAAGTTAGCCTGGGAATGCCCAAGCTTAATAACCGCCCTCGTAGAGAAACCTATTTTTCCCCCTGTAAAAATGTATGAATGTCAAAAGGGATCCTGTATTTTCTTAAACACTAAATGTAACATGCAGAGGAATAAAAATGTCTTAAACTGGACTTCTGTGAATGTAGCCTTGCCTGCCCTGTCCTGTTGTGGGGGGAGTGAAGGGGTGGGGGCAGCATGGGTGCCTGATGCCTGCTAAGGCAAAGCAGTGGGTCCTGACCTTCAAGTGGGAGCAAATGCAGTAGTTCTCCCACAGTCAGCTTCTTGCATTGTGTTTTCCTACCACATTGCTGGCAGACGAGGAGTGGTGGAGGGCAGCAGCCCTTGCTGGGGACACAGCCATCGCCCCTGTGGGCCTGCCCAGCATTGCTGCTCCAGATGAAGGGTTTGGCAGAGCTGGACTCAGCAGTTTGCTTCCCGCAAGGCATGCGCAGCCTCAGCTGGCTCCTGGCAGAGCTGCCGAGGCAGCAAGCCCCACAGCAAGGGTTTAACGGTCTGTATCGAGTGCTAATGAATCACGCTTTGGCTGTGGCTGTCTGTTCCCAAACCTCAGCCCTGTGCGTGCTGCTGAGGAGGTTGCCTGGGATGGCAGGAACGTGTTGTGGTGGGAGAGCAGCGTGCGCGCTTGGTTAGCAGCAGGGAAGCTGGTCTCTGCTCCTGGCTGCATGTGGGGGGAGCCAGCTGGGCAGTGGGCTACAGCCCTGGCCAGGAGTAGGGGTGTAAGAGCTGAGCACAGGCTGTGTTGTGTGTTGTGTGTCGTCGTCCCCCGTTGGGCATCGTCCCCCCCCCTGCAATGTGGGGGCTGCATCAAGCACAGCTGCCTGCCAAAATGGGGCTAGGGCTGTGTCCCAGCTCCTGGTTCTTTGGCCAGTATCTCCCAGGTGCTGGGCTTGTGGCCTTGCAGTGTGTCAAGCAGCACACCTGGGGAGGGAATCGCAATATGTGAGGGCTGCCAGCACTCAGGGGTGCCCACCCTGTGGTGGCTTTCCTGGGTTGCTCACTGCGTGTCCCACCTACAAGGTGAGCATCATCCTATCTGCACCAGCACCGTGCTGTCACCACAGCCAGGGCTGGAAGAGCTGGGGGGCAGCCTGCCATGAGGGGTCGGGGAGAGCTGCACCCACTGCCCAGGAAAGGCCTTCGCACATCGCAGGGAATCAAACTGCAGTGTGTAGACTCATTATCTGCAAGCCTGCTCTGCGCACAGGTGACAGGCACAGATAACATGCTTGTTTTGCTGTTAGCCGTAATAGGCCGCTATTTGAGCGTATCTCCCTGTATTGGTGTGATTTTTATTGCGGTGCAGCAGTGAGGGGTGTTGGGGGGCTGGTGTGGGGGGAGCGATGTGCTGCCTGTGACCTATGCCTCTGTTTTATTGTCTGGAATGATTCAATTACAACTATTTTGTGGCAGTAATACCCTGATGATTTTTCTCCTCCTCCTCTGAGCTGTCAGCTGGGTAATTAGAACAAATAAACTTGAAAGCCTTCATAATTTTTTAAAAGCATCGCCTCTCTCCGGATTGGGTTTCTTGACGGCAAATCCCCAGTTTGAGGAGGCGCGATGTATAATCCAGCCAGCAGCGGGGGCTCATGCGAAGCCAGCGCGTCCTGTCGCGTGCGGGTGCTGCTCTGCCCTTTACTAGATGAAGTTTCTTGGGTGAGCTGTGCGTGGGGCTGGGGCTGCTCTGCTGGTTGGCGTTAGCCTGATGGTGCCAGGAGGGTTTGGGTGGGTGCGTGAGGGCCTGGAAGGGGAGAACGTAAATCCCCACGGGGCACGGATGGCATAGCCGCAGCCCTATCAGTGCTGGTGCTGGACCGGCCAAGCTGGAGGTGATTTGTAGTAGCTGAGGAGTTAATCATAGCAGATTATCCATGTTCAGGAATCCTACAGAGTTTATAAATTAACATGCCAGCTTCTCCGGAGGCTTAGAAATTCACACCCATCAGGTGTCAGCCCTCAGCCTTGGGTAAGCACCATGGGAACTTCTCTCCAGCACGTGCTGAGCTGCACATTAGGACCCGCTTGGTATTTCCCTTGGTGGTCCTGAGATGTGTGCTCAGCCCCAGGCACTGGGGCAAGGATGAGCCCTGCCTGCTCTGCCCACCCTACTGCCACTGCCAGGTGGTGACCAGGCCTCAGCTCCTGCATGGGTAACGGTGGTGGAAGGGAGGCATCGGCCATGAGGATGGCGAAAGGTGGTTTGGGGACCTGTCGGGTGCCTTTGCACACCCTGCACTTGGACTAGCTTCCATGGGAGTGGGAGCTTGCTTGCAGTCAAACCCCAAATCAGCAGGCAGCATGTGCTCTCCCCACCCCCTCGTTTACACTAACGATAATTGATAGGGGACCATCTGTCACCATTGGTGGAACCAAAGGTGAGAGCCGGTGGCAGTCATGGTTGGTGGGGGAACACAGGAAGACAGGGCATTGGGCAGAGGCAAAGTGCTGGTGATGACAGGATTCAGCGCTGTGGCAGCACCGTGCGGGAGACCACGGCCCCGTGCGCAGCTGGTGCAGAGGGCACCACCACGGCAGTGGTAGCTGGTTCCCTTTGAGGTGCCCAGACCTGCCGTGCCCAGGGGTCAGTGCGTCTCCTCTGACCTCCTTGCTGTGCAGATGGCCTGTGCTGTCCAAACCAGCGTGCGGCTCTAAAGCAGCCACTCAAATTTCTGCCAAGGGACTGCAGGACGTTGCACAGCCTCGTTAGGTTTCCCGTGGGGTGGGAACGTGTTCAGCTCCCTAGGAGCGCTGGAGAGCGCGCGTGGCTCCTGCGGCGCTAGCATCGAGAACTGACTGAGCCCATCTCTGGTGTGAATCCATCCTGCTGGTAACTCGTGCATCTTTTTGGGACCTACATAGGGGCTGCACAAGGGGTGCTGGTGGTGCCCAGCCTGGCTGCGGTGTTGGTACGGGGGTCCCCCTGCTCCCCAGCCTACCCACCCTGAACCTCAGCCCCTCCAGCACAGCAGCATGGGGGGCTCTTGCAGCCCCCTTGAAGCTGGGATGTGTGTGGAGGCACCGTGTGTCCTGTGTACTCCCTGCCCTTCCCTAGCCCATCCTAAATTCTCCCATCTCCCAAATTTACTCTATTTTCCTCCCTGAGACGGCTCTTTGTTCCCTAGCATGCGCCCCAGCCACTGTGCCTCGGGCTCCTCTCTTCTTCAACAGGACACAGGCCATGATGTTTCCCCCACCACGGCGCTGAACACTAATGAGGACGTAAACCGCTGTTATTCCTAAGCTTATTACAAGCTTCGGTGGATTAGGCTGCGATATTAGTTGATTGAGATCAAACCAACAGCTAAGTTGCAAGGCTGATGCGCTAATGAACCATCCCGATGCAAGGGCCCCAAACTGAATTTTCCTTGGAAAACCAGGTTTTTTTCATGGATGCTGGAAGTAAAACCTGCAATTTTCTCCCCAGTGTTGATGCCTCACTCAGTGGGTGGGCACAGCTGAGATCTGCATGGGGGCACAGGCACGGGCCAGCTAAATCCCTGCCACGTGTTCTGGTGCCCGTGGGTGGCAGAGCCGAGTGGCAGGGGCTGTGTCACTGCTGCAGGTGCCTGGGCACCACTTGGGAGAGCTACTGCCCTGTGGCACGGGGCAAGGGGAGGCTTTTTCTCACGTGGACGGTAAAAAAAAGCATCCCTGAAGATGCTGAACTTGGTGCTGCTTGCAGATGGACACAAGTGGGCAGAGGGAGCTGTTAGGGCTGCAAAGCATCGGCAGTGCCTCTTGCCA